AGCCCCAGGCTCGTCTGAACCCAGAGAGGGTGGCTGGGTCTCGGGGGTCCTGTGCCTCCCGGGCCTGTTGCCCCTACAGTGATGACACCTGCCAGGGGGCCTTCCCCAAGTGAAGCCGAGATGCCCCCATGTGACGCCTGGGATCCTGGCCCCCCAAGCCCGCCCTGGGGGTCGGGAGCTGAGAATAACCCAAGTCCTGGGTGTGCGAAAAGCCAGTTTCTCCCACAATTTAGCAGTGAAGCAGGGAGCAGGCCGTGGAGGCAGGGCTGGGAGCTGGAGATGGGTGCTGTTGTGTTTTGGCATCACGTGTCACGGGGCACAACACTCAGCGAGGTGCTGGGGCGCACAATTGTGCTTTGCACCGCCCCGCCCCCCAGTCACCAGGGACCGCGGTGGGCCTGACCCTTGCACCGGCCTGGAGCCTAGAGCCCAGGAGAGCAAGATGCTTCGCTGGGGAGAGCAGCGCCTTCGTGCAAGACCCACGGGCTGCAGCCTGGAGTGTGACAGGCTCTCTTCTACTTGAGCATCACTGTCCAGATACGTCAGGAGACTTCAGAATTACCCACAGTTCTTACTCCTGCCCTGGTCGCTGTCAGCTCAGTCCCCACCTTCCAAGGTTACGAGGGACACCAGTCATTATCAGCCAGATCTCTGGTGAAGGGACGTTGCCCTTAGAAGGGACGTCAGAACTTCCTCTTTTTTTCACATTTGAGAGACTCAGATGATAAAAGATGCCCCACACCTGGCATCAAGCTGTTTCAGGTTTTGGCGGTGCCTCTCCTGAGCCTGGTCACCCATCAGCCATTGTCCTTCAGTTCCAAACTGGGGGCCCCTTGTGAGTGGGCACTGCTAGTCTCAGGGTGCTGGTGGCAGGATCACGGTGGGCAGCTCCCTGCCCTTAGGGGCTGCCCTGCGGGAGCACAGCCACCACGCTGCCCCCGGGCCCAGATGGCAGGGCTTCTGAGCAGCGGGGCTGCTCTGTCCTCCCTCCTCTGCACAAAGCCATGTGCCAAGGAAGGAAGGGAGGGCCAGCGGGTGGGACCCTACTCCTGGCCACAGAGGGCGTGTGCCCAGGGGGGCAGGCACGGCACTCCCCTGCCCGGGTCCCACCTTTGGTGACTCAGGCCGGTGGCTCCCGCGCTGACACAACTGCTGAGTGAGCAGCCACCCCTCCCTGGGGGACCCCCGCCCTGCGCTGAGTGCTGGGAGGGGACCTGTGCCCTCCAGACCCCCAGGGAGGGTGGGGCGGAGCCACCACAACTCATGGGAAGGCCCCCCACCACCCGTGACTGGCCCAAGGCCGCACTCCTGGGAGGATGAGAATTACTGTCTGTCTGTTGCCCCGGCCCTGGCTGGAGGCGGGTGGGGGTCGGGGGGAGGGAGGAAAATGGCGAATGGGGTCTGTTCCCGAGGTGTCTCCAACCCTGGTCCTTTCTCAGAGACTCCTCCCTGGCCACGAGGCACAGGGACCCCAGGGAGTGCCCGTGTGCACGCTCTCACGGGAGTGCAGCAGGAGTGATGCTGCCACTCTTGGCTGGGCGCGCCTGGGCAGGGCGGGGCCGGGCGTGTCCTGCCTGGAGCTGGTCTGGCCGGCCCCACCTGCCGGGCAGAAGCTGGGTTTCCAAGTGGGCTAATGGCCGGACAGACACTCTTTTCATCTTGGCCTGCCCACCACGCTTCTGGCTCCTGGCGGCTGTAGACCAAGTGGTGCTCGCGGGGGAGGCCGACTGTAGTCAGCTCTGTGAGGCCCTGAGCCTCGGTCCTCTGCTGCTGTCCTCTGGCCTAGTCGCCCGTAGGACGCGGCTTCCTCGCCTGAGAAGGAGAGGGTAGACCTCTGAGATCTTCCTGACTTAGGAGGAACAGGAAGAGGCGATTACGTTACGGTGCTGGGGAGCATTCAGTGGGGGGCAGAACTCCACACTTCTCCAAGAAGGAAGGAAAAAGGGAAGAAAATGGGTCACAAGACCTAAGTCGTTAGCAGAAGAGGCTGGGTTACGGGGAGGCGCCCAAGTCGCTTCTAGGTGCAGAAGCGTGTCTTGGTGGACACACCGCCCAGGCTTCCCCAGAGCCGTCCAGGCTGCCGTCTGGCCGGGGGGTCAGCTCTGCTCCCAGGAGATCAAGTGTCTAGCCTCCAGAATGTTCTGAGGCTGGAGTTTCCCAGGGAAGCTCTCGGGAACCAGGCAACGGGGCGAGTGTGAGTGGCTCACTGTCCTTTGTATCCAAAGCAGAGGGCGCTGCCAACAGAACACTGTCTGAGTGCGGGGCTGGGCCTGGGGGACCTGGCCAGGCTGCCCTGTGAGCCGCGTGCCAGCCCCCTCTCCGTCCAGTCTGTGGGGCTTTCTCACAGGCCACAATGACTATGAGGTGTGACTGCTGTGACTGGGGCACCCAACATCCCGCAGTGCTTGGGGCATCCAGAACAATAAAGGATTGTCCTGCCCCAAATGCCGACAGCGCCCGCGCGAGAAAGCACCGCGCCGTTTCATCACACAGCCGTCCGGGCGTCCAGGCTCCTCTGTTTTTCTGACACCTGTGGAGGCTGTCCTGCGGCCGCAGGGCCACAGCAGCCTGGGCTCCAGACGCCGGCGTGCACCCCTCTCCCCAGCTGCCTGGGTTCATCCGCCTCATGTGCCAACCTGGCGGGCCCTTTGGGAAGTTCCGGGGACAGCCAGCCTGTCCCCCTCTGAGCGTCAGAGGGACACAGAGGTTCCTCCTGGACAAGCATTTCATCACAGCTGTGCTGAGTGCCAAACATCCACGCACTCAATTCTCCCAGCAGCCCTGTGCCCTAGGCTCAGTGATGCTGCTTTGCAGATGAAGAGACTGAGACACAGGTGGCCAAGGTGGCCATCGGGCAGATGATGTGGCCAGAGCTCAACTCAGGCCGTCTGGCTCCAGCGTCTGTGTTCATGCCCCCAAGTCTCCCTCTGCTGGTCAAGTCTCAGCCCAGTGGGCCCGCGATGTCCCCGCCTTTTCAGGCAGGTGGAAGGAAAGGGGCAGAGTTCCCCGGCCACCTGCACCGGGAGTGCTGGCCCAAGCCTTGGAGGGGAGCCCAGGCCCCCTTGGCACTAGGAGAGGCATCCTGGCTGAGAGGGAGCTTTGCTCCAGCTTGTCAAAGTGACAGAAAAGTGTCATGAAGGTGGGAGCATCATCCACAGCAGTCCTCAGCCACCGGCAGCAGCAATGTCACCAGAGCTGGGTGGGGTGATGACACGGGTGTAGCAGATGAAGGGCTGAGACATGCAGCCCGCCGGGGCGCTGGCTTCTCCCCCATGACAGCGCCGCGGCGCAGCCCACGTCCTGTCCCCTGTGGGCAGCCCCCGCTCTGAGATGCAGCACGGCCGCCCGCTGGCCCCTCCCATGGGAGTGCGTCTGCACTGGGTCTGGGCTGGGGCAACGTCTGGATTCTCCATCGGGCGCCTGAGATGAGGACCAGGAGTGTCACTGAGAGTTCCTGTTGCATTTCCATTTAAGGCTCCTGGGAGCCCGCTGCTGGGAGGGCTCAGCCTTCCCTCCAAGGTGCTGCCTCCCCCTCCTCCCACAGACGCAGGGGAGGGGGCCTTGGGGCCGATTGCCAGAAGCCCGCATGGTGCCTGCTGCAGACTGGTGCTCAGGGAGCAGCCCTTCTCCTCCAGCCTCTGCCCTGACCCCACACACCAGTTCCCTTCGGGGTTGGTTGGTTTGACCCAGTTTGCGGAAGAAAACCGTGCCTGCCTGAGTGCACAGCTGTGTGTGAGGGTGGAGTTGACCAGAGCACCATGGCCAAGGCTAACGGTGGCTTCTGAGTTTTGGAGGTCGTTACTGACGGAAGCCAGACCCCAAGGTGGTTTCCTGCTCTGAAGGCTCTCCCTGCGGAGAGGGAAGGCGGTCCTGCCAAGGGCAGGCCCCTCCCCAGCCTTGGTGGCCAGATCTGGTGTGGAGGGGAATCACCCAGCTGCCCAGGGACCTTCCCCGTGCGTCGGTGTGCACGGGGCCGGCGGGCTCTGGGCTGCCGGACTTGGCGCCATCTCGTCCTGGCAGAGCCGAGCCCCAAGTCGGCGCCTGTGTGGAGGCTTCCTCAGGCTGCATGTTGATCCTCTGGTGTCAGGACAAGTCAGAGCAGGCAGGCCCAGCGCCCGGGAGCTCCTGGGGCAGCCCCTTGCCCAGCTCTGTTAGGACCACCCCCCCCCCAGGTCTCTGGCTTTGTGGGCCCCTCCCAGGGCGGCTGACTCTCCCATGCAGGGCCCTAGGGGCCCTCACTGTTACACCTTCTCCTGTTGGATGGGGCCCCTGCCCAGCTTCTCCCCACTGCCGGCCTGACAACACAGCCCGGGAGGCCACCCTGCAGCCCGCCGCAGCCCTGGGCCGCCTCTGCCTGCGCAGAAGGCCTAGGGAGACGGGTATGTTCCCCCTTCGGCCTCCAGGGGTCCCTGGGGAGTGCCTGTTGTCCTTTATTTCCTGCCCTGACCGAGGGGAGGCAAGATGAGGGGTTTGGCAGAAAAATAACAGTGGAAGAGGGTCCTGGCCAGAGGAGAAGGTTCCCCGTGCCGAGCACAGGCGGCCAAGGTGGTCGGGAGCTGCTGAGGTCTGGGAAGGGCACAGGGTGGCCGGGCCGGGGCCTGGGGACTCGGGCTGAGGGCCCGTCTCCTCCCTGGGCCTGATGCCCTCCCGGCCTGGGCCCAGGTGGGGCCTCCTCGGTGGCTGTCCAGCTTCTTTGATGACGTCCCTTCCACCTGACAGCTCAGTCCTGCCCACCTGCACTGCACTCTGAGGGGTTTTCACTGCAGTACATATACATTACTTGATCCCATTTTTTAGAAGTGATGGTCAGGCCTGCTAGGTTGCTTTCCTAATCTGTAACGGTCACACCTGCAGCTTGAACAGTGCTAGATGGGATGCTGGCTAAGGCTCCCCCCCAAACATTCTGGGATTCTAGGACCATTATCAGGGGCATGGGGCAGGCCGGCTGGACCTGGATCCCAGGTTGGACCCCCACTGAGCCTCTCTCCTTCCCCCACCAGATCTACAATGGGACTCTCAAGCGGGAGGCTGACAGCAGGCGGTTCAGCTCCTACAGCCAGATGGAGAGCTGGGGCCGGCACCACCCCCGGGGCGGCTGGCCAGCCCCTGGCGCGGGCAGCGACATCTGCTTCATGGAGAAGATCAAAGCCAGCCGCAGCGAGCCCGACCTCTACTGCGACCCCCGGGGCACCCTGCGCAAGGGCACTCTGGGCAGCAAGGGCCACAAGGCCACCCAGAACCGCTACAGCTTCTACAGCAGCTGCAGCGGCCAGAAGGTAGCCAAGAAGTTCCCGGCACACCCACCCTCCTGCACCTCCAGGCAGGACCCGGGGAGCATCCCGCCCGCCTCCTGCCACAAGGACCTGTCCTTCAGCCACTCGCGGGCCAGCTCCAAGTGAGTGCCACTGGGCCAGGGCCCCGGGCCGGGCCGTGGGGGGCGGGCCGTCCGCCTGGGGAGTTCTCGGCGTGGACGGGAGGCAGAGCCCAGGGGCTGAAACAGACGCGCCGAGGGTGTGGGCGTCATAGGGTCACACGGTGTGGACACGGGGAGGGGAGTTAGAGGCTGGCTAGGCTGGTGGTTCCCAAAGTGTGTTCCTCTGACCAGCAGCACCAGCGTCCACGGGGAACTTGTGAGAGATGCCCACTGTCGGCCCCGCCCAGACCTTCGGCTCAGAGACCCCTGGATGGGCCGGCAGTGTGTGTGTGGTAACTTGGGCCCGAGTGTGAGGATCCCGAGCTTGGGCATGTGAGCCTCTCCCCACATCTGAAAAAGCAAAGGAGTGTGCCCTGGGGTCGACAGTGAGAAAGGGACCCTGTCCCATCTCACAGGACAAAGGACCCAGTGCCGGGAGTGGGACCGCAGGAGACGAAGTGGGGGTCCTGCAGACAGCTGCGGGCACAGGGTGCCTCAGGGACAGCCACGAGGTCTCAAGGGTTGCAGGGCCTGCCCTCCAGGGCTCAGAGCCCCATGACCCTCGGAACTGTCCTCTGTCACCACCAAGTGTTCTGTTATTCGTCTGTTTGACACTTGTTGGGCATGTACTGTGCTCCAGGGTCTGTGGTCAGTGCAGGGAGGCAGCCATGCGCAGAACGGCCCGGGGCCGCCCTGAAGCTGCGGGATTACCCACCTGCGGGGCCCGGACGCGCTGCGGTCTTCACCTCCAACCCTCACCGTCCCTCCAGGCTGGGCCCGGAGGAGACACAGGCGCAGATGTTAGGTACCTTGCCCGAGGCCACACAGCTGGCATTACACCCCGTGCTCTCCCCTGCTCACCACACTGTCTTGATGAGCAGAACCATTGCAAAGCCGGACCTCTCCTAGCTGTTCCAAGGCCATAAAGTGCATTTAGGGTGATCTGGAGAAGGACTGAGAAGCTCTGTGCCTTGGAGACTGACCAAGGCAGCACCTGGCCCTGGCTCATTGCCCCAGACTGGGGACCCAAGAGGACAGGGCTGGGTGAGCCGCGGAAGGGAATGCATGACAGGCCATCCGGAGGTGATGTTTGACTGGCAGATGGCTGGGTGACATTATCTCAGTGCAGGCGGGGGGACTACATGAAAGATTGGAGAGCTCTGCCCCAGGGGTGACTTCTCCAGAAATGGAGTCGGGCGCCTGCAACGGCAGGGCAGGAGGCTGGTACGAACGAGGAATGGGCTCCCTCTGGAAAGGCTGGGAAGATTCCTAAGGGGGTGGGGCTGGGTGCCAGGAAGGGGCTGTCCTTTCCAGCCCCCTGCCACCACCCTGCCCCCCACCCCGGTCTCTGCGGGAACTGGACACAGACTAGATGGGGAACAGCCTGCAGTCTGCACCACGGGGCCGGAGGGGCTCCTGGCAGAGAGGTGTCCTTTCCCTGGGAAGGTTCGCAGCAGCGGGACTTCAGTGAGGAGAAGGGACACAGGCCCCCTCAGCACTGGCCAGGATACAGTGATGTCAGCTGTCTTGCGGGAGCACAGCTGCATTAGGGCGGAGCGTGCAGGACACAGCAGAGCCAGACTTTTGGGGTAGAGCAGGGTTGTTCCGGTTTTGTGGCTCAGAAAAGGTTGATGATCGGCCATTTCATATGGTTCAACTTAACACGCGACCTGGATGTCAGTCTAAGCAGTTTGAACTTGAACTTGCGTGTGGAGAAGCTGCTGATGGGGACAATGCAGGAAGCAGGGCTGCTAGCCTGGGGAAAGGGCGTAACATTTTGGACGAAAGCCCGTGGAGAGGACAGCCAGTTGTGGGAGTCTCCTGCTGTAGTCCCGATAAGAGTGATCGCGGTCAGAAGGAAGGCAGTGGCCATGAGGATGGGAAAAGAACCAAGCACGGTAATTTTTGTGTTACAAGAATTAGCTAGACTCTTGGAAAAGGAGGCAGGAGGGAGAGATGGATGGATGGATGGA